CATATCTGATAGCCCCATTAAAATGTTCCAGTCCCTTGAGGGATCTTAAATAGCAGCAGACACCAAGTTCAGGCAACTGAATCAAGCCTACACCATCTAGACCTCCTACAAAACCCCTAATCACTGTCCAGAGAAAACCAGAACATTCTGTAGCCTGGTACTGCTGTACACCTGCATGTATCACAGAATCATCTAGGTTGGCAAAGACCTTGAAGATAATCTAGTCCAACCATAAGGGAAGGGAACTGTTACACTTTAAAGGAATTTGTTTTCAGGACAAGAGATGTGAGCATCAAAAATCACAAAAGCATGTCTATAGGCAAAAATTAGTTCTTAATATATATGTAAAACCAGTGCTGGGTAACTACAGAACACCTTGCAGTATGACTACAGAATTGTCTACAAATAATAAGGACAAAAAAGCAATTAGAATCAGTAAAAGCATTTAAAATAGGATTGCTGAAGAGTTTGCATGCCTAAATCCAAGATTACTTCAATATTTCATATTAGCCAGGCAGTCACTAGATAAAAGTAATAAATAATCTTTGGCACTTGGAACATGCCCCAGAGTTTTCCCCTCCCTGCTAAAGGCCCTAATCAAGAAGCTATAGAGACAAATTCATGCTTATGTTCTCCAACTACTATAGTAAAATGTTATTTTCTACATAGGTAAACAGCTTCTGAGATACAATTACCCAGATGACTTCTAGGCTTTTGTATGTAAACTGTGTATGAGAACTATGTATGTAAGCTGTGTGTTTTTGTCTTGCAGTTCTAGAAGTAAGGGGGCATAGTGCTAAACTCTCAAAACACTGAGTGAGTTTCAAACTGGGCATCTTAATTGCTACTTGTGTATATGAACAACTCATATACTGCTTGAAAAGAGAACTAGCATCTCAGTAACTCTTTTCTCTTCTACTGGGTTTAAAAAAAAAAAACAGCAATACATATGTGATTTAGAGAAAGGGAGTTTAGACACCAGCCTTCAAAGGAGAGCTTTAAGGCAGTGAATCTCCAGGGGAGTACATAAATTGTAATAGAGACATGAGACTTAAGCACACGAATCCTCTTTGTTTCCCTCTCTCATAGGCCTGGATGGTGTCACACACACAGTGTTGAGTTTCCTGAGCCTCACTCTGATCCTTACTGTGCATCTCCAGCATCCCATGTTTCTTTTCTGAGGACCAAAGTAAATTCAAGCATTGCAAAGCTTGTTGCTTTGATGCCTAAACTCACTTTTGGTATTCAACCTCAAGTATTTTCTTTACTACTTATCACTAAATACTTTTTATGATGCAAATTGTAAATTATCTATTTTGGCATCGCTTTTTGAATTAAGCCTCACAACAGGCTGTAGCACACATATAACGCAACATATCACACGTCCTTTGGAAGCAGGAACAGTCAGATACAGCAAGTTAATTAAACTAAAACAGGCAACATGGACAAATCTAGCATCAACATAACTTATCTTTTTACCACATACTGTGTGTCAGGCAGCAGTAAGAGGAGGATGCTCCATAAAATGGGCTGAGCTGGGAGCTGGGGGTGCAGTGACTCTGGTGGGGCAGTGCCCTCCCTGACACCACCCTGTCCAGCAGAACCTCAACCAGAACATCAAAGCAGGTCTGGTGACAATGACCACATTCAACGAGTCCAGATCACCAGACCAGTCTGTAGTGACGAGACAGATTGAGTCTGAGGTCAGGCTCAGGATCAGTGGGGTTCATGGCCAGGCACAGGCATGCTGTCTATGCAGCTCCAGCCAGAAGCAGGGGCAACAGCTGGGGCTGAAACACAGCTCCCAAGCCAAGAGGATGAGGCTTCCACTGAGGTGCCTGGAAGCTCTGTCCCGCCCAGCTCTTCCCTCAGCTGTCTGATCCAAGGTCACAGCAGCGCTGGCCTTGAGTGCAGGCAGCCACATCTCTGGGAAAAAGTGGTTGCTGAGTCTCTACAGTGTCCCGACACTGTGATGCAGAAATAAGCTTCCTAGGACAGTGGCAGATTAACTCAAGGCACATGACACCAGCCCTAGTAGTTGAGGCCCTTAAAAACTGGGAGCTTGGACTTCCTCATGCCAAAAGAGGTTGAAATCCAGATCTCCCTCCACCTGGGTGAGGGCTTGAGGTGCATGGTATTAAGGTGGCCACCATGAGCCCTTTGGTTGTGTTCTAAAAGAAAACCTCTGGCAGTTCTCTGCAAGCAGAAGTGTTGATGCCTGCCTTCACCTGAGGATCCAGAGCCTGGCTCCAGAGCCAACAGGGACTCCTGCCTTGCAGCCTTAGTTACTGAACGGCAACACTCGGGGTGCAGGTGGAGAAAAGGGGGAATTAAGACATACCACAGTCTTTCCTATTTGCTAATTTAGAGATATTTTTGTCTTCTGACTGGCTTCTCTTTCGCAGAGTTGAACCTGGGGTCTTTTATCAGTGCAAGTGCCTACAGTTGGACATTGATACCTGTAAGTCTTTTGCGGGAGCTTCACTACACTGTAGTGTACAGTGCTTTCTGTTCAGGAGGGGTTCTAGTCCTCATTGCAGACAAAATGCAGAATCTGGACTTTAATTTACCTTCCATCAGACTTCTCCTACAATATTTTAACACTAGAAAGACTAATTTATTTCACATATGTATACTGATAATTATCCCTTTCCCTGTGGCTTAACTATCCTTCAGCGATGCTGAAGACTTCTGCAAGAGGAAGGGAGGAGCTGCTGTTCAGGTTCTTTGCTATCTCCCCAACTGGAACGGGCTGCTGCTCTGTCACCAGCTGACCTTTGCCCTAAAGACTGATGCGCTTCGCAAAGGTTGCATCAGGGCTGGTCCTCTGTAACTTGATTTTTGTTTGCCATGGGAAGGCTGGTTTATTTGCTTTGCACTTAACTCCCACAGTTTATTCAGCACCTTAAAACTCTTCAAAATCACATATAAGTAAATATGTGAAAAACAAACAGTGCTCAAAATTAGTCTGGTAAAAAGTGAGGGACTGCTATTTCTGAGTAATATATATACTTACAAGTCTTCATTCTGCAGCAGAAAAATACATCTTCTGCCCTCCAAATATCTTCTGTGAGACCATAAAATCCTTAGCTTTTAAAAAAATAAGTTAAATGTTTTTGTGTTTGTGTTTAAAAGAGTACTGTTCCTGACTTTCTACTTCAGGCTGTTGTGAATGACATCAGAGGATAACGAGGCCAGTGTTTAAACTGAGAGTCCCAGTTTAACTTTTATTATTGTAAACTGCTTAAAACTGGAAATGTTGAATTATAAAACTGTGATAGGTAGATGGCACAACATTAAAGAAATTAATTCTATAGTTTAGAGCTTCCTGTCCTGATCCTCCTGAGCCAGTCCTGCCGTCCTTACTCATTTCCTTACTCCTGTTTCCTCAAAGCATTTAAACACGATAGATTTCAGTGGGATTTAAGCATATGCTTGTTGATTCAACACTTTAATCAGAGAAAATCCTCACTAAAGTCAGGAGGAATTTTTGCCCCAAAAGACCTAAAGTTTCTCTCTTGTTTTTTAATCCCATATTTGAGTCCACACAACTCGAAATTGTGAATTTATGTGTTTGGTCATTGTTGCTGCACATCACTCCCTGCCCAAACCAGTTCTTTCACTTTGGCTAGTTAATCTCTGGTTGTTAATATTAGTAGCAACAGGAGTTTAACAGATGAGGTAGTGCTGGAGTAGGTGGAGACACGCTGAGAATAAGGTTCTAATAATTTATTTCAGGTGCATCCTCTTTAGATCATATTTAAATACTAAGAAGAAAGGCACACTTTAACCCCTCTTGAACTGTCTCTACCATTTAAATGTCTTGAAGTATAGCATAGCTTTATTTTATATTGTTGTTTAGGTGTAAGTAAAATTTTTTGGGAAAAAAAAAATGGAAGTCTGTGGGAAAACACCTGGAAAAAAACAGAATGGAGAAGATACAAGGAATAGATCCTTAAGTACCACATAACTGCTAGACAATGTTTGTCTACTGGCCTGCAGCCCGTTGGTGTAAGCACTCTTTTATGAAATTTAGTGAGTATGTAGTGAGTAATGAATTTTACTGAAACAATGTCAAAACAGGGTTTCTTAACAGGCTTATGATATCTACTTCTTCTGGATTCATTTGGTACAAGCCTGTTTGACTAACATGTCTTAAAAGTTAAATATGTAGGATGTCTTTTAGAGGCCGATGAGGCATGAGAGTGCATGTCAGCAGCCTGGGCTTTGCTCCCCACTGTCGCAGCACACTGAATTCTTCTGCTTTCTAATCAAATTGAATTGATTCAGTTTAATTCTTAAAATTATTAAAAGCAAACAAACCCACTGCTAAACTTCTTAGAAACAGGGCTGCTGTTTAGCCTGAGCAGCAGTTTAAGGGGAAAATGACGTTTCTGAAGATTTGCAGCCAAGTGAGGGCTGGTTTTGGAACGAGGTGGATTGCTAAAGGATATAGCATAAGATGTGCAGCAGCCTTAAACTGCAAGGGGCAGGAAATTCCCCAGATTTTGCAAGGTGCCTCTTGCTTTACTGGACTTTAAAAATAACTTCCTTAAGTAATGATGTACTTTCCTTAAGTTTTCCACTGGGAAGAGCTTGAAAGCACAGCCTCGCTATTCCCAAAAGGCCCGACACCCTGGGAAGCAAGAAGCAGCCCTGATTCCTTAGAGCTTCATAATTCATAACTTTGCGCTTTTCGTAATTTGTTTTGGCACTGAGTCGCTGGGGGTGGTGCGGCCTAAGCCGCAGCAGCAGACCCTGACCGCGCGCTGCTCTGCCGGGCTCTCCTCCCGCCGGCCTGCGTTTTCCCGGAGCACGGGCCGGAGCAGAGGCGGGGGGAAGGCCGCCGTTTAGCGAGGGGATGTACCGGTCAGAACCAAAGCAGTCCCGCCAGGAGCGGGGCAGCC